AGGCTGCAGCCTTCCAACATGCCTTCCTGCTCCACATATCCCCTTCTAAGATCTGCTGCCACCAAAGTACTGCTTTCATCACACTCTTCTCTCCCTAAAAGGCTTCTATGCCTCTCCACTCTCTACTGACTACCTGCTTTCCTTCAGAGCCTGGTACCCCAGTTCCCCTCTGCTCTGGTTCCAACATGCCTCTCAACCTTATCTCCCACTACCCTCCTAGAGGAACCTTGTGCCCCAGCAAGCCAGTCCTTTTTTTTTTTTTTTTAAGTTTATTTTGAGCGAAAGAGCAGGATGGGGCAGAGAGAGAGAGAGGGAGGGAGGGAGAGAATCCCAAGCCAGCTTCACAATGTCAGTACAGAGCCCGAGGCGGGGCTCGAACCCACGAACCACAAGATCGTGACCTGAGCTGAAGTCAGACGCTTAACTGACTGAGCCACCCAGGTGCCCCAACCCAGTTCTTTTAAAGGACATCCCAGCCACCTGCATGCTTTTCTTCATACCATCACCTCTCTTTGGAATGCCTTCTTCTCCACTCCCATCTCTACCTACCAAGAGTTGAGCGTTACCTACCTTCTAGAATTTAAATACCATCTCCTTCTCTTCCTTTTCTGTTCAGCCCAGCTGGAAAGACTTCTACCTCCTCTGAGCTTCTATAGCTTGTTTACAGAAGCACATGGCAATATTCTGGCATTAGAGTGATTTGTGTGAATGTCTTATCTGCCCCGCTAGGCTTTGAATTTCATTCAGCACTGTACCTCTGGTACCTCACACAAGACTGATACTTATTGAATAAAGGACAAGTGGAGATAGAAGGGCATTATGGACTTGGAGCCGAATCAAAAGAAGCCAAATGAAGTTATTGGTGAGGAAGGGGACTCCAGCATTTTCCACAGAATGCTTATATTAGGTTGGTTAGGTTTCTGGCATAAGAAAGGGAAAACGGTCTGTTTTCCTTTAAAATATAAGTCATGAATTTCCTTCTATAATCTTTAATATTTTCTTCAAAGCAAGGTGGAGGAGCTTCTAGTTTTTACGCTGCATGGTTTAGCTGTGGCTTAAATTATCCTCAAGGGAACAGGGCAGGCTATCCCTTATGAGAAAATATCAGACCAAATATATTTTTCATAATGTGTAAATATCACCCTACCCCAACGAAACTATGTGCACCCCCAGGACCAGAATGAATTCTGAACTTCCTTTACAAATGTCTTCTTTGCTCCAATGGGGGCATGCGCATGCACACACACACACACACACACACACACACACACACACATCCAGGTGCACGTGGTGTATCAAGGTGCTGAGCAGAACAGGAGTTATACTCAATTCTTCACTGATTGGTGTCCTGCGAGACCCTCAATAGTGGAATTCTGTAAAATCGCGACAGGAAGGGACGATCTGATGGCAAATCTCCTCTTACTAGACCCGCTTCTGATGACTATGAAGACTACAGTCATCACCTGATCACACAATTCACCAGCCAGCATTCGCAGGCCTCGTTAAGCGAGTGCTACTCTGAGCCACGAGAAGGAGGGGCTTGCTACCATGTTGTGGCCTGAGGGGATGGGTTGCAGCATGTTGGCTTGTACTCTGCACCAAAGGATGCAGGCACCAAAGGGGAACACACAACATAAGAGGTTTTGATTAAACTTGTATCTTTGACATTCAGTCTGGAAACATGCATTCCCCTGTGACGGAGAGAAAAACCTCAAGTAAGCCATAGGAAATCAAAGGCTCCCTTTATTTCTTATCCACTTTTGAGCAATCTTTCCAAAGTTGTGGGAATTATGCACTGATGAGTACTTCCGCCTGTCACTCTTCCTTGGGAAGTGACCCCACGGAAGAGAGGTGGGCGATATGTTTAGACCTAGGACCATACAAATGACAGAGACACCACGTGGAAGATAACACCAAATGTGATTGCTAGGACTGACTGGCAGAACTGGGGTATGTGAGTGTGTTGGATAAAGTGCTTCAGGGCTATTTTGGGGGTATTTCTTCCTTCATTTTTATTGAGATATAATTGCCACACAGCACTGTAGAAGCTTAAGGTGTACAGCCTAATTACTTGACTTCTAATATTGAGAAATGATTACCAAAACGAGTTTAGTTAACATCCATCATCTCATAAAGAGAGAGAGAGAGAAACAGTTTTTTCCTTCTGATAAGAACTTTTACGATCTGCTCTCTTAGCAGCTTTCCTATATACCATACATCAGTGGGAGCTACAGTCGTCATGTTGTGCATTACATCCCCAGTATTTATTTACCTTCTAACTGGCAGTTTGTGCCTTTTGACTACCTTTCTTCAATTTCCCCACCCACCCCACCTCTGGTAACCACAAATCTGATATTTTCTGAGTTTGGTATGTGCGGTTTCTTTTTTGTTTTAGATTCTACACGTAAGTGAGATCATACACTATTTGTCTTTGTCTGACATATTTCACTTAGCATTACGCCCTCCAGGTACAGTGCTTTGTTTATGATAGACTTAAAGTCAAATATGCATTTTCAAGAAGGATGCATGTCCAGCCATGGAAAGGAAATCAGGCAATATAACTTTCGAGCTACCCAGCAACTGGGAAGGGCTATGGGAAATTCTACCTGATCCCCAACACCATTGTTTCTTTCACCAGAAAAGGATCAGGCAGCCACCTCCCAGCTAGATCTTTCCAGGTAATCACAGTCTTATCCAGCACTATTTATCTTTCCTCTCCAAATGTCCTCCTGTCAATTTGGAGAGTGGGCATGGGAACAGAATATGTAGGAACATGGCTGTGCTCTGGGGAATAAGCTTTTAAATGTATAATCTCAGACAAAGAGCACCAGTGACTGAGCTTAAAAGGTGTCTGGAGGAGAAGGGTTTAGGAAACCAGAGTTATCCACTGGCCACTGCTAAGTCTCGTTGGAATTTTTGGCACTTGTACCTCTGCTTATGGATGGCTCGGATGGCATCTGATCTTGTCATCTTGCCCTGAGGAGTGGACACATCCACTGCCCTCCCCTTTAGATGAAATCTTGCTTTAAAACAAGAGGCCGGGTGACAGAGAAAGAAGGAAATTGCCCCAAGCTGGAAAGCCTGTTGGGAACTTGCATGCATAGCATCTTAAGTCAGATTTCCTGGGGGAATGACCATGAGTGACCTTGCCATGATTTGAGGAAACCACTTAGAAATCAGGAAGGGTAATCCAATGAGGCAGAGTTGCTGTCGATGGATGTGAAACAGAGAGGAGCTGTCTGCATAATCCCGGCTGTGGGGCCCCAGTCTCCCTTGTGAGGAAGGCAGCTTCCTTCTCTCTGCTTCTTGGAAACACTTTGCCGCAGGGAAAAAGCAGCTTGGCACCCTGGGATGATTAAAGGTAGACGTTATTTTCCTATCCTGTAAGGAAGACCAGGCAGACGGGTTGAGACCGTGCTGGGCACTCAAGCCCTTCCATGCCTCTTTCTCATCAGGGGCCTGGGATTTGCAGCCACAGAGCCCCAGAGCAGACCATGGGCAAACAGGCTGAGCCGGGCCCAGGATTCTGCCGTCAACCCCAGGCACAAACAGTACCCTTCGGCCTTTGCTTGATAATGAGGCCTTAGCTGCATAGTAGCAACACACCAATGACCATTTGGACTAAAATGCACTTAAACAAAGGATGCATCCAATTAAACGATTGGGCTTGGCATGTCTGTGACGTCAAATGACCTATCTGATTGTTTTTATATGCATACATGACTGTCTAAACCATTAGCATGTGTGTGTGCGCGTGCGCATGCACGCATACACGTGGCACCGAGCTTGGGGTGGCACTGTGTATAGCCTCAAGTTCAGTTCCGTCTGATAAGATAAGGTCCAGCCCCCTCTCCCAAGCCTACCAAAGGCTGGTGTAGGTTTTAACATTTGAGCAACTCTCCAGGCTGAGTTCTTTAAAACCTAGTGAGCTAACACTAAATCACTGTGCCATTTTGCATAATTGTCGGGGGAGGAAATAGTGAAACCAGACTTCGCCATCGTGTCCAGGCTGTACCCTGCTCACTTTGGGTAAAAAGAATATAATTGTTTAACATATTAAAAGCAAATAAAAGTGCTTAAATATTTTGTAATTTGCAACTTGAAAAGAAAACAGTAATGGGTTTCCAAGTGCATGCCTTTACTTTTAATGAAGTGTTTATTTTTCATGGTTCTATTGGCAATAAAAGAACAGCTCCACATCAAAAGCCTTCAGGGAAGCAGTTTCCATTTGGAGGACAGTGAGATTGCCAATCATTCCGACTTTTTTTTTTAAAAAAGGAAACTCACTAGACTATATTTCCAGATATATGTTATTGCCTATTATCCCAGGTAATTATTTTTTTTGTCTCTTACTCATATAGGCAAATTACAACGCATTATGTACTATACTCTAAAAAGATTAAAAAAAAAAAATTAAGTGACACTGGGATCAGGGGGCTCCAGAATGTTTTGATGAACATGTTTCCATTATCCTCCGTGCTTGTTCATTTTGTTGAAAGAATGATTCATTCATTTCAAATTTGGCAACTTAAACGACAAATATAATTTTCCTATCACAATGCAAAATCAGTTTATTGCCCTTCCAGACATTGGGGCAGTTCTGGCCCTTTTTTTCCTTTGCCAACAGCACCCTCTGCTGGCGTCTGTTATCCATCACATCTAATGGGATCGACCCAAATTGCAAACGGAGGCCTCCCTGCAACATTACACACAGCAGGACATGATTCATAAATCAGTTTTCCACCCTGGTGATTCATTACCAGATATATTTTTTCTGTAAAACAGCACAGCTCAAGGAAGTCATCAAGAATTCAGAAGCTGCAAGAAATACCTTCGTTTGATTAATCATCTCTCTGACCTTTTTCTTCTTATTGAACAAGGTTAATAATACTTGTTATCACTCAAAGTTAAACTGTATTAGCTGCCAAGTGATTTTTATTTGCAAAGGCCTGTTATCACTGCCAAGAGGCTTCAAAGTCGGGATCGGTTACATTCCTCAGGTATGACCCCGAGGGACATCTGACCAATGCGACGTTTCCCACTGGAGAGGTCAGCAGCTTCCACAGCGACCTGGAGAAGCTGACAAAAGTGGAACTAGATACTTCCAACCGTGAAAATGTCCTCATGTCAACCAACCTGACAGCAACTAGTACCATATATATTTTAAAACAAGGTAAGGATACTTCCCACTTCGCCTATCTTAACTTCTGCCTTCAAACCTCTGCGCGCCATTAATAAATAGAATTCGCTCCTGGCTGAGGAGATGGCTTCTCCTCCCTATTTTCCAGCTACAGAGGCTAAAACCCAAACGAAACCACACCTTTCACAAAGTTCACGTTGCCACATTGGGCCACATCTCTGTGGGAGCTGTGAGGTTAAATCCCTGCCAAATCCGCTCCTCCTTCAGGTCATTTCCCAACACCCAGCTGTTTGTAAAGCTCTTTCGGGCTCTGATTGGGTTATATTAAAGAAATGAAGTCTGTGCCCCAGCTGAGATTAGCATTCTAGATCAATGCTGACGTGAGGCAAGAATGTAAGTGAAACGAGAGAATTAAAATCTCATTCTAGTCAGAGAGTAAAGTAAGAATGGAAGAAAAGGGAAAGGAAGCCTGGAGGGAGGGAGGGGAGAAGGGGCAGAAGGGGAGAAGGAGGGAGAGGGAGGGAAGAAAACAGAAGAGAACGGAAGGGAGGGAGGGAGGGAGGGAGGGTTGCATTTGGCGGGAATGTCTTGTTTTCTCTCTGCCCAGCCATGAAGGACTGATTCCGTTGTTAGGTTATGGGCCCAGACGCCCAAGTGTCCAGAGTTCAGGTTCACTCTGAAAGGACCGGTGGTAGCAACCTCTGTCAGTGTTACCGTGTCGCTAGGTCAGCGGGTGTCCCCAGGCAGTAAGGAGGCAGAGTTGAACTTCGTCTTCTCCTTCTAGCTCCCAGCGTGTCAAAATGAGGAGGCCAACCCGCCAGGTCCCAGATGGATTCTGTGAGGGAATTCTTTAAAACTGAAAAAGAGAAAGCCAAACACAGCCTGCAGTATTAGGAATCTTTGATCCGAGAAACAAGGTACCCCAGCTATGAAAATAACGAGACCCAGACGGACAGAGAGCGCGTCGGCCTGTCAGAGGGGTTGGCTAGCCCAGAAGGCAGTTGGGCCCGTAGCGGCCCCTCTGCTCACCCCGCCCCAGACTTGCCTCCTGAGGCTCCGCTGGTCTCTTCTCTGCCTGCCGTGCTTCCCTTTCTCCCCCTCTTCCTCCTTTGCTCCTCTGTCTACAGAAAATACCCAGAGCACCTATCGTGTGAGTCCGGACGGCTCTCTGCGCGTCACCTTCGCCAGCGGGATGGAGATCAGCCTCAGCTCGGAGCCGCACATCTTGGCCGGGGCGGTCAACCCCACCCTGGGCAAATGCAACATCTCCCTGCCCGGAGAGCACAATGCAAACCTCATCGAGTGGCGGCAGCGCAAGGAGCAAAACAAAGGCAACATTTCGGCGTTTGAAAGGAGACTGAGGGTAAGTCTTGGGACCCCGACGCAAGATCCGCAACTGGCGGTTTAGGTTGGAAAACCACACAGCCGCCCTGATCTGAAGTCCCATCGCAACAAAGCTTTTCTGGGTGACTGACTAGCGTATCGGATACACTAATTCGAGAGAGGGTGCTAACGGCTGATAATGGTTCAGTGTCCTTAAATGAACACTCTAATAGGAGCATTCTTTGTCATTAGCCAGCTGAAGTGCTCTGATAGTAGCAATTTCAGCCACCAAGAAAGTCTGGGTGGAGAAATGGGTTGAGTAGGGAGGCCCTCCAGAATCCCTCCCAGCGTGCTGGGGAGATGGTCATCAGGCTCACTACACTTGACCCAGCTCCCTGCTCCGGGGGTAGTTTATACTTTACGTGGAAGGACCCGGCAGGCACCCACACAAGGACATGAGACAACAGGCAACATCTGGGCAAAGGCAGGTGCAAAGGAGGAATCGGTGAGTGATACTATTGCCGTGAATACACTATGAAGGGCCAGAGGGGTAAAGGACTAGCACCCAGATGTGTCCGGTGGTGCTCAGAGACAGCTATCCGGAGGACATGAAAGGTTTCAGGGTTTTCACGTCCTTACCAGAACCTGCCTTTCTGCCACATGCAAAGCCTCCGAGCACCACAGCACTCTGTCTGCCTGTCCCTTCTTCATGTTAGGATGATGTGACCAACTTTCCCAATATAGTAACATTCAATATCAGCCCCAGAGCAACTGCCAGCCCAAGGGAAACAATCAGTCACAATTGAGGCCGGGCCTGCCTTGAGTGCCTGGATACCCGGGAAGCTCACACTTTCTTCACTCACAGTACAAATTCGCTCCCGGTGAAAATGTGGTAACCTTTAGGCTGTGGAAATGCAACGCCAAACAACCACCCAATTCCAGTAAGAAGCGGTCAAACCAGTCCAAAGGTGTGACGTGGACAAAACAATCCAGCACTCACTTTTTCGGGCAGTTCTGTTGGTGACACACAGGCACAGACTTCAGTGATTTTGTAATGCCACTACAGCTGTCTACAGGCACAAGTCAATTGTCTGTTTTGATTCTACCACCAGTCTCCAACAGGACATTTATTGCTGATATGCCCCTGAATTGAGAGGTAAAACCAGTCTAAAGAGTCCACCCCTCTCTGTGTGGGAGGCAGTGAGGGTTTCAGTCAGAATTCTAGAAACGAGATCTCCTGGGCAGAGCCGTAGATGGGGAAGTTAGATGACCTGGCTTAAGACATGCCTTTATTTTCTTCGCCTGTGAAATGAAAGTATCATGCTCAAGAAAAGTAAGAACTATGTACATATGGCTTATCAACCTCATGGACTCCCCGCAGAATAATTGTATCACATAAATGATCTCTTAGTGCCTCCCCTGGTTTACAGCCTCAAGAAAACATTATGAACCATATCAGGTACTATGGGTTTTCCCGTTCGTCAGGAAACCCCATCCTATACTATGTGACTTTGGGGTTTTCCACTTTCTAGGATAACCCGCCATTTTCTCCCCTCCATATGCACAGATAATGGAAAGACTATAAACTGTGACTTATACCTCATATCCCAAATTGTTCTTAATGTTGAAAAGTTAATGCTCATAAAACATTTGGGGCATTTGGGGGCCCTTTAGTGTTACGGAGCGAAGTATTATTTAGTTAACACTATTTATAATTGACCCATTTCCCTTCCTGTCGTACAGTTGAGCAGATTTGTGGAACTGCTTATAAGGGCAACAGATTCAGGACTTTCTCTTCTATGTGACTTCTAAGGGTACTTCCTGAGGTCCTGTCACACAGTGGAGCCCCTCAGCAGCTGAGTGGTGTCACCGTGCATGTCCCTAGAAACCTAACAGCAATCCTTTACATATGTTTCGTGCCCTAGAGTTAACAAAATGCTTTCGGAGCCAGGATTTTATTGGATCGCCACCACCATCAATTGTTGTTATTCCCAACTTACAGATAAGGAGACTAAGGCCCAGAGAGGTTAAGTGATTTGCCCAAAGTCAAACAGCTATTAAGGATCAGAGCCAGCACTAAAATGTGGGTCTTCGCCTAGCACACCACTCTTTCCACTTCGTCATGCTGTGCTGCCTTGTTCCTTAAAATAATTAATCTATAAATCATTGCCCCACTCAGTGGAGCCACCTTGGCAGGGCCTGACTCCTCATTTCAATGCTGACAAAAAGAGACAAATAATCGACTCTAATGTACTGGCGAGTGTGGGTGGTACAGGACAGCTGGCTGGCCTCCAGGCAGGAGGAGCGTGGAAGAGGCAAGGGAAGGGAAGCTGCTTAACTGGCTAATTCTTACCTTCTCTCCCCACCCTTACGCATTTTTGTTTATACCGCTGCCTCGGTTTCCCCAGATGAGGCAAATCTGATTTAACGGAATGTATATGCTCCCTTAACATAGGTGTGAATCCAATTTTGACGAGGCAAGCTCTCTTCCCCTGCTGAGTTTATTATTTCAGAGATGGTACCCCTTCACTTCCGGTCACTTTTCAAGGAGCAAGCAGATGGCACGAGATGGAACGTTCTCTCTTCCCGGGCCAGATATGCAGGGTCCCATTTGTAAGCATACATGTACAGAACAAGCTTTTCCGATGCCCTCAAGGACCTCAAGGCCTAGACGGAATCATTTTATTTATGTATTTGTTTATTTATTTATTTAAATTCAAGTGAATTAACATACAGTGTAGTATTGGTTTCAGGAGTAGGACCCGGTGACTCATCACCTACACATGACACCCAGTGCTCATCCCAACAAGTGCCCTCCATCCCGCCCACTCCCCACTGGCAACCCTCAGTTCTGTGTCATTAGAGTCCCTTGTGATTTGCTTCCCTCTCTCTGTTGTTATCTTACTTTCCTTCCCTTCCCCTGTGATCATCTGTTGTGTTTCTCAAGTTCCATATATGAGTGAAATCATGATATCTGTGTTTCTCGGACTGACTTATTTCACTTAGCATAATACCCTCCAGTTCCATCCATGCTGCTGTGAATGGCAAGATTTCATTCTTTTTGATCACCAAGTAATATTCCATTGTAGGAATATACCTCATCTTCTTTACCCATTCATCTAGACTGAATCATTTACTTCTCCGGGTGGAGCAGCCACTCCACAACGAGGGCAAGTTGGGGGTACCAGAGCTCTTGAGACAGAATACCAGGTTCAGATAGTCGTACAACATAGAAACTCCTGCTGTACTGTGGGGAATAGGACTCCTCTTTGAAAAACCACACAAAGGTGTGGTTGTATTTTTAAATGTGCTTGGGCAGCAGGTCCTAAAACACTACTTGTTTGGGCACAAAATGACAGGTTCATTTAAAGACCCCTTTGGAAAGATGATGGACATTCCAAAAAGCTACCTGTCACATCCAGCCTAGACCTTCTAGCTCAAAGAAAAACAGACAAGAATAGACTTCTCTTAGAGATAAAGCAACAAGAGTTGATCTTCTCTAATGATTGATGGCATTTTTTTTTTTTTTCATACAAAGTCACCTCAAGGCGAGCAAGGCAGGCTGTCGGGAAACGTGATACCCTGCTCACCCTGGCCAGGCGAGGGATTTGTAACCTCTGGGATGTCCTGTGCCAATTCCATTAACTGAAATAACTCACATTAACATCCGGAAATTTCCTTTATTTCAAAAATCCATTCCCTACCCCAACCTGAATTGTGTTTGAATCACCTTCCTTGCAAAGTACTTTTACATCCAGTCCATGTATCTTATCTGTTGCATCAGCCTGTCCCCATAAATACATTTCCTTGGACAATGGAGACATTAGAGTGCAGATAACAATGGAAGCAGTTGTAAAAGAATTGGACATTCACCCACAGCGAACCAGTCTGGGAACTTCACCCAGATTGCACCTCGCCACACGCACGGATACTAATCCCGTCATAGGAGACTGATCCCAGCACTGGATCCCAGAGCTCTTTACAAGATTTCGCAGACTGAGATGTGAGGTTACAGCAAAACCCCAGCACTACACCCTCCTTTATGAAAAGGAAAAAAAAAACAAAACAAAAGTCCAGGAAGCTTAGCACTTCAAACCAAAGTCATAAAATCAAGTAAGATGATTATGTGTTTACAAGCAAAATGAAGCAAAGACTTATCTAAAACCCTCGCAATTGATTTTTGTCCCCTTTCCACTCAAAGATAACTGAGCACCGGGTAGATTGTTTTTTAAATGCAACATGTGACCGTTCATACATGATCTGAGCTCTGAAACGGGGAACAAGCCCAGATGCAACATAGGGTCCCAGGCTGACAAATGATGGGGAATTTGGGAGGCAGCCAAGAAGGTTCCAGCATCTCCCTCCCTTCTCAGAAAATGCCTTTGCTGACAGGGCACTCGGCTACAGGCTGCTCAGAGTTGGAGTTCACATTTGCTTCACGCTATTTTAACTTCCTTCTCCCCGGGTTTGCTGGAGGGATTCGTTTTGTGAAAATTTAGATAAGGAGCCTACTTGCAGATAGGTTAATCTATTTTCAAAATATATCTGTCGTTCTCAGTCCCAAGTAACAGTGCGTCTACCCCTAAGGAGTCACCTGGAGACAGGAACTTTCGGGCATCCAGGCAACCGGGCCGAGTTGGGTTTTTTGGGGCCAGGGGATTCTTGGGGCCCTCCAAGCACAGAAGCTACTACATTTGTTAATCTTAAGTCAACCCCACTAAGAGAACTCGAAAGAAAGTATTTCACATATTATTCCGCATGCATGTAAGCATTAATGATTTGGTATGAAAAATTTCCATTGTCTGTTGTATGGCTACACAAATGAATTCCCCAACAGGAGAGCATTTAAACGAGAGCAAATTAATATAATGCAAAAAGCATCTAAGTTAAATGATATGGCAGAAGCCAGGTGAGCGGAATGAGTAAGATTTTGAGGAACAAGTGGTATGCCCATAATATTGCACCCCTTTTCCCATCTATGAAAGGAGCAATATGGGCTGTGCAATCTCCATCAAGAGTGGCATTATCACAATTGGTCAT